AGATCGGCTAGAACTGTACAGTACTAGACGAAAATGTTTAGCAATTTCTTAAAACAAAAATGTATATAAATTAACAATAGAAAACAAAGCAAAAGTTTTATAGGTGTGTAGAGTGTTAAGTTAATTCACTTCTTATTATTTTTGTCTAAATATGCATTTAAATAAAGCATATTCTTAAATTTTAACGAGGCAGTTTAAATAATTTTGCAAATGGTACTGTACACTTTTGTCTAACTCTCGCTCGATGATCGGTGGAGAAGTGAGCTCCGCAGACAAATATGATTGAATTTGGAATTATGCTACGGCGCATCCTAATAAAGGGAAGGGGCATATCTCTAACTTCTTGAAACGAACAGTAAATTTCTATTTCTATATTATTTGAATTAAAATGAAAAATCAATTAAAAAATAATGAAATAGTTATAGTGCGTTCCTCCAAAACTGTTTTTTAACCTTTTATCATAGCCCTAACATTGGTTGGACGCGCATCTCTACTCTTTCCTTATCCTAAGCCAATCTTATCATTTTCCTAAAAATACGTTTCACATCTGCAACTATTTGTGAACAGTAATCCATTCCACTTCCATCTTATTTCTTTGCGTCGTCTTTTTGTAATACATATTTCCTTATACAACACCACATCTCGAATGCTTCTAATCCATTCGTTTCTGCCGCGTCTACTGTCTACGTTTCGCACCTACCCAGAGACATGTTTTAAAAATTTTTTTTTCGAAATTTCGGATTCCTTCGTGTACAGAAGCGACTCAATTCTGCGCTATTCTTTGTTTCATATCTAATTGTGTCCATATCGAAAATCAGCCACTTTTAGTCACCTGTTTTTATATTACCTCTTTCTCTACTTTTACCTCCCTTGCACACCAATATTTTCCTTTTTAACTTTATTTATTAACTTCCCATTAGGAAGTTATTGTAATTGGGTCGAAAAGTGAAATCGGAATTTTCATTATATTTCCACGTTTTAACATATTAGTAGCATGCTAGCCAATTTTTTTGATGATGTGTGTATGTACGTACGTACGTACGTACGTACGTACGTA